ACGATTTTCCAACCTAGAGCGTCAACCTGAGAAGGGTTGCAGGCGTACTGGTGTAAGTCCTGCGATTCTTCAAAGGAATTACATAGAGATACGATCTGCGAGGTTATGTGTACTGTTTGTACATATGTGTGGTGTGTCATATCAATTGGTGCTTTTGGATTTATTGTCTTTACTTATTGTTTTCATATCCTGTTGTTTTGTTAAAATTTTCGTCGTGCATACTTCTGAAGTTGTTTCAAGTCCTCCACATCCGTGAATGAATTGATTGATGTTAAAGGCCGCAGATGGGTCGTATACGCCGGGGAGGCTAGGCTAGTGCTCAGAATGAAATATACACAGGGATAATTGTTAGCTGCGGTCCCACGCGCCCAAGGAGCGAGAGTGTAGACGACTGAGGCTTGCATACGTCACCGTTACTAGAAATGAGGCAGGATGAGTGACAACCGATTGCAGTGGTAATTGGTAGTGAGTAGATAAGACGATGTGCGAAGAGTATCATGAGGTGCTGCTATGGTCACGTTGCGTTCTGCAAGATTCATTCTGGCAAGTGGCGATTGTGTTGCAAGATGTCAAGAGGATGCCTTTAACTGGAAGGAGTAGGTCGTCATCGATGTGTGAGACTGTGCTGTGGGTATGCCTGTGGTGTTTTGGCTTTTCTGTTTGTTTTCCATTTCAGCTTTGTCCGTGTGACCCAGGTTCTCGCAATGGCATCCAAGTCAACGTGTATTGGTCGTGATGGGAAAGGGGATGGATCCGTTTTTTGCCGGGGAGTGTCAATGTAATTGAAAACTGAACGATCAATTCATTGTTATTTGCTCAAACCTGCATGAACAGGAAGAAATATATTACTATATAACTTCCCCATATTTTCGCGGAGGCATTAATACACCAGTCGTCGTCTCATCATTCGCTGTGCGGTGGAAGACAGAAAACTATCAGAAACCTTGTGTAATAACCTGATTTTTGGTTTCATTTTGGCGTAAGAATAAGGGATTCTTGAGTTGCCAATCCGTGTTCTGGTTTTTTCGCGTCGGTTATTACACATTGTTTCTGAAATCTTCGAGGGCAGTGTGTGGTCCAGTGTAGTAAGACTAGACATTGATATCACTTGCATCTGTGAGCAGGGATAGCTTGCCTGAACAACGGGCCCTTTTCTATCAGGAACATTGGTTCACGTTGTCCAATAAATTAAGTCTGAAGATTAGTTAAGTAAAATGTTGCAAGCTGTACAGGGCTGTCCACATGGCTCAGGGTAAGCCGCCCCTATTGGTGGTTACACTGGGCTTTCCCGAAGAGGCCGGAAGAATACTATTAATGGCTCAGTTACTAGCCATAGACAGAAGTTCTAGGATAAGGGCGAGACATGACAGACCATGGTCTGACAGGCAAACGGCAGGGAGTCACCGGAACTGATGCCTGCTACCTCTACGGTCGTACACGGTGCTCCATAGCCGGAAACGGGAATTGTTTGTGAAAAACACATGCATGACATACAGCAATGGAGATGACTGTCATCTCAGATGGCGCTTGGCGCCCCTGGAGCAATCTCCATTTTCCAACTACATCTCCCTGTTCATCTCACACTGATTATCTCTCCAAAGCTGCTAAGTGTCACATTCAACTCCCCGGAGCAGTTGTTCACAGAACTTCAACGGTTGTATGAGACCAAGGGGGAGATAGGAGAACACATCCAATACTGCGAAAGCAGACCCCGAACCATAAGGAGGTAGCAAACTGAGGCTTTAATATGTCCCTAAGCTTCAGTAACACTAGAGCGATGCAGTTCTGAGAATAAAAGTCTGTGTCACTCAAGTGTCCTACCTGAATCCATGGAAAAACTACAACGGGCCAGTTTCATAGGAATCGGCCAACTAGCCCCAACATTAAGTCCCCTACAAGCAGACAGCTTCACGTCAACTACCCCACATCACACTGAGGTTGTGAGGCTCACTGTCAGCTGCCTATACAGCAATGTGAGGGGGCTTAGAGGAAAAGAAGGAGAACTCCGAAATCTCCAAGCACACCTTCAACTGAAAATAATCATTCTCGCTGAAACCCGACTAACCCTCACTATCGCCGACAACGAAATCAGTATAGGTGATATGGTTCTGGTCAGGAGAGACAGGGATAATAAGGAAGGAGGAGGAGTTGCTTTATACCTTGACAGGCAACTTCAATGTGTACGCGCAACGGACGCAACACTTATTGAGCTCTCAGATTATATGGTGTCATTTCACCGTAGGCCACACCAGGCACTTACTGGGTGGCATCTACCGATCACCCACCTGTGGGGTAGAGCACAGCCAGATACTGCTCAGCAATATCACAGGGATATGGGACTTGGACTATGACCAAATCACCTTAGCTGGAGATTTCAATGCCCCATAACTTAACCTTGGCCCAGGGTATGCTAAGGGAAAATTCCGCCGAAATCTATTGCAAACTATTGGAAATACGAGACTGATTGAGAATGTTGGAGACGACACTAGATGGGGCGCCGGTGGAAAGTCATCAAAACTAGACCACATTTTAACTAGTGACCAACTACTCGTCGAAACGGCTCAGATCATGACTCCTCCAGGAAGTAGTGACCATGCAGTCATAGGTTTCGATCTCGTTCTCCGTGAGCACTAGCAGTGGAACGTAACGCGACCATGTATGTGTTACAGCATGGCTGATTATGCTGAAAGCGGAGGCTCTTGTCCGGCGCAAACTGGCCCTTAGCATGGGATGAGCTCTCTGTGGATGAACTCTGGGAAGTGGTAAAAAATACTTCATATGGCAATATCGGATATCGTCCCATTAGCTACAACAAAGCCCAAAGGAAAGTCATTATGGCTGAAGAGAGGCACGCAACGTATTCTGCAAGCAAAGCAGAAGGCTTGGTTTACGTGGCGCGTATCTAAGAGTCAGATAGACCACGACGCACACTTGGAACTCAGGAACCGGTGCAACGCGACAGTCAGGAGTGACAGGAGATCATTTCGGTCTAACCTTGCCAAAAATCTCCTGGCAAACCCCAAAAACGTGTATCAACTCATCTCGGAAAGAAAACCAAGCAACCAACCAGGAGGCCCAAAAAGTCAATATCTCACTAGTCCGGAGGTGGCTGAAACACTCAGTTTAGCCCTCGTCAAACATTTAAACTGCGGTGTAGGTGATAGCGTTACGGACCAAAATGGTGGCACTATTATTTCACAAGAGGAAGACCTAGTGGCTACTCCCCAAATAAAGCCGGCAATAGTACTAGAGAAGCTGCAGCGACTCACACCTGGAAAGTCCCCAGGTTGTGATGACATCAGGCCATCTGTTCTGAAACAGTGCGCCGAAGCCCCCTCTAGGCGTTTATGCGACTTGTTCCAACACTCAATGGATTTAGATAAACTGCCAAGAGAGTAGAAAAGAGCCATCCTTTCTCCGATATTCAAGGGTGGGGATAGGCAAAACGGCACTAGTTATGGACCAGTAGCTCTAATCCCAATGGTATCAAAAGCACTGGAAAGTATAATTGATGATCACATCAGGGAGCTTCCCGACAGGACTAATAGACTCCATGAATCACAGCATGGTTTCAGGAAAGGCAGATTCTGTGCAACAAACCTACTATCAGCTTGCGACGACTGAACATCATGATGGGATAAGAATATTCTGTTCCACCTCGTCTTCCTGGACTCTGAGAAGGTATTTGACACCGTTCACCATGACCTCTTACACAAAATAAGTCAGGCAGGTATAGGTAAGCCGCTTCCGTCATGGTTGAGGGACTACCTAGCTCAAGGGCAATGTTTCACTAAGGTTAATTGAGTCCGACCATCTTGGTACAACTCGCCATCAGGAGTGTCGCGGGGTTCTATACTAGGACCAGTGAGTTTTTTGATTGTTATCGATGATCTACCATGCCGTCTAAGCTGCCCGACTCTTCTATACAATGATTACGTAAAGATATGGAGGGCAATAAAGTGTCCGGAGGACTCAGATAGGCTGTAGGTAGATGTAAAGCTTCTGAAAAGCTTCGAGGTGACTATTGGTATGACTTTCAACCTGAAAAAGTGCAATGCATTGAAATTACACAACAAAGCACACGATGAAGGGCTCAAGAAATTAGGCCTATTCGCACTTAGCTACTGTCGGCTTAGGGGGATTTAATTACTGCCTACAAATTGACAAATGACCAGAATAACCCGAATAAAGGTGTCCTGCCATTGAGTAGGTATAGGCTTCCTCGGGAAATCGCAGAAGGATAGCTCACCAGAGGGCAAGGATCCGGGTGCGCTCCCACTTCTGTTCACTACGGGTTTGCCGTCCCTAGAATTCCTTACTGGCCGATGTAGCTATGGCACCATCTACGGACGCCTTTAAGCGAAGGCCGGAAAATCATGCAGCGACACAAGGACTGCGCCCAAATGGCCTATCCCCTTAAAATCCCATTCACCATTCAGGGGTAGACAACAAGGTTCTTACTTACTTCTTTACATTCTCTCCCGTCTTACTCTCCTGACAGCCTTAACTACACTTGTTGTTATTGTCGTTATTAATGATATATATAATTGATATTATTCATATTATTCTTCAAATTTAATCAGCTGACTGTTGTCACGTTTTTTCTTTATTTTTTTTCTGTCGGTTAGTCTGAATAACTCCACTAATTACATATATTATTATCTCCTTTCTTTTGACAACGATACCGGAGGACTAACTGGTGAAAAATCAACTCCATTCATAGTAGTAACAGTCTTAACACACCTCACACTACAAACCACATATAATTAATCCCAGCACTACTCCTTTGGGAGTCAATCAGAGCTACTACGGTTCAGTGGCGGGACGAGCTACGCGGAAGTTTACCAAAGATCGGGAACCTATACCTCACAATCAAGAGGTGACCACAAAGAAATCAAATTGGTTTATACTAGCTCGTAAAAACGATATTGGATATTGGAAGTAGAAGTTTGTTTGATTGGATCAGTCACATTATAGAGAGTAAAACAACTATAAGTCAAATGAATGTTCAGGTCGTGATTCTTGTCGTTGTCTGTGGGATGTGTTTAACGAACGGTGATATTCTTGAATATTTTAAAGGTAATTTGTTTTCATGTACTCAGAGAACTGTATCGTTTACATTTCCATGGCAAGTAATAAAGACAACTAGCGGAAAGGATGCATCGTTTCCCATGCCCATGGGTATTCCCAAATAACGAATTTGGGGAGTTTCGGGGCAATTTTAGGGTTTTTTGTGGAATTTTTGGGGTGTATGTAAGAAAAATGTGGATCCTCTCAGAAATTCCCTTAGTATGCTCCATTACATCTCCCGAAAATTACCTCCATTGATATATGAGTCTAATTAGACCCATTTAAATGTTAGACTTAAATTCAAGTCAAAAAGCGTGCTAATTTCTTCGCCACTGTAATATTCGCTGAAAGACAACTTGAGGGTCTCATGAAAACTACCTGACCCTACTTCACAGAAAAGTCCATGTGAATGTTGCCGTAAAACCGAGGTTAACTTCTCGTGGGATAGAACTTATCTCGAGATTTGTTGGAAATTTTTGAGGACATTTCGGAGCCTTAAGGGAAAAGCCGAAATTCAAATGCGTTTTACCAGAATAACTGCAGTTATTTACTTCGAAATTCCTTCAAAAGTGTTTATTTGGGTAGTTATTAGTGTGGGCGAGAAATGAACGATTAAGCATGTTATTGGTTGCAGAAACCTGCAGTTCAAACCGTTTCTTATTCGGTATATACATATTTATTGACACTTCAGTTGGCAAATGCATAGTCCTAACACTCGTAAGTGGAAGATGTTGCTAGAAAATCGGTGGCACAGCGGTCAGGCCTCTTGCCGACCATGCAAATGGTTCGGCGTTCGAACCCCTACTGACGAACACCTGATATCACTTGGTCGACCTAACAAATTTGGGCTACCGATATCACATGCTGAAAATTCCATACTTGTACCAAAAATACGGTGTGGAATCAAGCTATAGTTTAAAAAATATATAACATTTCAGCTAACATCAACAAAGGCATGTATGCATACCAGGATTTGACGCTCCACATTTGCTAATGTGTTTAACTCACCTTAGGTTTTTGATTTTGCTACCATAGAGCTCCAGTTAATCAAAGTCTAATTGTGGATACTAGAGATTCGAATAGCATAAAAGTTGCTCAAATCTCTTCATATCTATAACAAGAGTTCTTTCTTTGAAGACCAGGACAGTCACTGGCTGAGACCATCCTTAAGGAACGTCGTCCAGCAGACTGTATTTTAAGCTAATAAACGTGGCTAGCTCTTACAAAACACTGGAAATGTCTCTTTAGACGACGTAGTCCTAATCTTGTTTGAGATTACTTAAGTTTCGGCACTCACTGATGGCACGTTGGCTTTTTATCGAACAATATCAGATAGCTATCGATGGCAAGAAGCAACTAAAGTTAATCAATTATAGTTCTTTAGTTCAGCGAACAGATAAATCAAATGTTTTTTATCCTTATAGCTCATAACTGGACCTCAGTGGAAACCATGCCGTGGCTAACTAATGACAGTGGTCTCCGTGAAAGTGAATATCTATTTCAGAAAGCAAATATTTCTGAAAGTTTTCTACCTAGGTAAGTGATTTTCTGGTATACCGTATGTAGTTAGCCTGATAATTTATATGTTGTTGCTGCAGAATAATTGAATTTGGTTTGCTTATTACTATTATTGTTAGTATTAAGAATTTTCATTAGTTGGTTAACAGTACAAATCCTTGTTGTTTGCCTAAAGCGATTTTATTTTTTAATTTTATTTTTGTTTTACAGCTTGATTCCACACTTTATTTTTAGTACAAGTATGGAATTTTCAGCATGGATATCGGTAGCCCAAATTTTGCAGGCCGACCATAGATATCAGGTGTGCGTCGGCAGGGAATCAAACCTCGGACCATGTGCATGGTCGGCGAGAGTCCTAACCACTGTGCCACCGACGCACACATCACCTCATCAGTTCTACATGCTATTATCTTTAGGGTGGATATTATCGGTAGATGTGGAGACATCATGTCACTAGAAGGCATAAAACAGATACGTCTCCCTGCACCAGAGGTGTCAGGTGAATGACTTAAAGAAGTTATCATCTTGATGATTTCATAATTGTGACTGAGAGGGTGCAACAGTTGTCCCGTCAGATGATTAACAAGTCAACTATATCTTTTTTGACTCTGAAATTACAAAGGCTCTGCTCCTTAAATATATATCTTGACTTACTTTGTGGTGATCTGCAATAGATGTTAAGGTTCTTTACATGGACGAAACAAATAGAAACCTTTGGAGTACTGTTGTCACGCACTAAGAGGAAATAAAGTTTCATCATATAGATAGCCGGAACGTTTGACTTCCAAGTTTCTATCAGCATTCAACGTTCATATGTTCAGTTATCTGAATAACCTTTCCTTCCCTCCAAACAGTAGTGCTGTATGAGACATTTTCTGTAAGTGACGATTACTAACTATTCAAGCCAATGAAACCATTATTCTTTGCCTCTTGCAGTCAGTTATTTGAAAGTTTGAGCATATAATGCCCAAAATCTGTAAAACGTTGGACAACGAGCTTTATTGGCTTATTCTGTAAACTCTATATGTGAAGCGATATTGTATCGCGGAAACATATTTACAAAACGCAAGCATGTCTATCCACTTGATTCTATCTGACCAATTATGTGTGTGTAAAACATTGCAGATTCTGTGGTGTTTAGTTACAGCACTGAGCTCACTTTGTGACTCATTAAGACAGATTTTGACTAACTGTAAAGATAAGAAAAAGTGAATTTACGTGCTATTAAGAAAAAGGCTGATGCATTTGCACCACATGTATGTGAATTTCCGTCATTCCTCGTACTGGCAAGGTATCTGTTTACGTTTAAAAAATTTGTGAACACCAGTCAAATATCTTATAAGCTAAACAATAAATGTTTTGCTTTATGTTTGCCATCAATGAAACAACCTAACAATCTGTTAGATTAGTATTACAGCAGTTTTTTAAAGACTAAATACTATTTCATCATTTGCTCCAGACAAGCCATCAATCAACAAACTGTTTGACCAATTTATGATATATTTTGTTGCACTGTCCACTATGACCTGATATTTCGATCTAAATGTGGTGGGTTTTTTTACATATAGAAAAGCATCCTTCAGGAAGCTTCACAGAAGTCTTGGAGTAACTAACATTCGTTGTGCTGTTTGTTGCAGTCATTTTAAAATAAAGATTGTCGTATACTAAAGACGATTTCATCGCTGTGGTAGCTGTATCTTGCCTTGTTTTAAAATGTTTATTGTGAAGCAACATAATTGGTAATAACACTTAATTTGATTCTTTTGAATAGACTTTGTGTATCAAGTTTTGTGAAAGCGTACAATTTGGATTACATGAATTCTTCTCATTCTATATTAATACAAGGTTTCGAAATCATTTTCGTTGGTCCTCCGGAAACAGGTTGGTACTTTTGATAATATATATATATATATCACTTTGGTTGACAGCCAGTTTGATTGGTAGGTTTAAACAATTTGATTGTTCTCATTTTTCTGACTGAAATCGTCATCATCACGGCTGCTAGCTTTACGAATCTTCAGGAAATGTTATCTGTACAGAATTGAAGATGACAGGTTCAGTCAGAACAGATACTTCTAAAGTCCATGTAAATGTAAATGTTAAGTTGCTCTGCATGCACACTTTTAAATATTCTTACTACAGTAATTCTGAACGAAATTAAATTATAGCGATCCAAGAGACGATGGATATTTTAGACACTGAAACAACTAATCGAGAAAAGGGATAGACACTGAAATTAGTTATTGCGGGATGGTCTAGGGAGACACTAATCAAGAGCACTTTTCAAAATCCATGGAATGAGTTCTGTTCGGATGCAGTTTTCCAGTTCCGTATCGATTTTAGCTTGGCTGAAAGAAGTCGATTGTGTGTTGCATGAATAAATCATGAAACTAAAACTAAAATATTCAGTTACAAATTTGTATGATAATGATAACAGGGTTATTTGTATAAATAAGGATATACCCACAATTGTCGAGTGTGACGGCGAAAGTAAATTATAGCAGTTTCATCTAGGCGGAAAATGGATATTATCAGAAATCAGAATTTTCTGAGAAATTTTAATTGTTATTTGCATCAGCCACGTTTAGCAGTCAATGGTTTAAAAACGCACAGAATTTAGGTGGCAACTGGCACCTAATATCCACTAGTTGAACCCCTATAAATCTGTGTAAACTTTGTTTCTTCCTAACTACTTGTGGCAGTGCTCAAGTAAGTGATAGTGGGTTCTTTAATCCTTCTCGTGGTCTGTTGGCCTAGTGCATAGCACTGTAGCATTTGAAACGATGAATGCGACATCCGAGTTTCAGTGAAAACACGATCACTCCCTGGGATGCAAGTACATCCATATGACGACTCCCTCATAAGAAGAAATGCTCGTACTGGATTCCGCTGCTAGTCACCAGCTAAAATGATAATTACCACAATGTCTGTTTTCATCATCAGGTTTTTTCATCACAGCTTTGCCAGTGTTCCTCTCAAATTATCTGTTTCAAAGACCTTATTCATAGTCCCAAAATCCTTTGACGTTGTAAATCATCCAGTAAGATAATAAACTGAATAACACAGTTGGAAACTTTTGTTTCTACTCGTAATTTTGATTGTTGTTGTGGTCCCATTGTTCTTTTATAAAGTACTTTTAATTAGAAAGAATGCTTTCTAAAGGATTATTTTTATATTTTATAAAAAAGTTCTTTTATTTAAAACTACTCTACTAGTATATGTTTCGTAAGTTAAATATTAACTTGGGATCTATCTCATATGTGAGCTTCCGATTTTATTGTTTAAATTGTTCCGTTTCATGAAGCGATTGATATTTCAGAAGGGCTAATTCATTCGTTTTACGATGTATACGCTTAAGTTTACTCAGATACTGTCCATTGATATTATTATTATGTTTGTATTCCAGATCCTGGTATTTATCTCTTGTTGGGTGCTCACTCACTAATCGTTGTATGGTGTACGTGTTTACTGACTGTGCATTTTTTGCGTCTTCGTCATAAACCTGGATTAGTTTCTCGGGATTATGATAACTTATCGGAAAGTAACAAAACTCTTCAAGTTCTCGAAAGAAAGTTAGTTTAATACACATACATGCACACACAAATATACCTGTTCAGTGCAACAATTTTCAGTATTCATAATGATAATAATTCTATTGTTGTGCCAAGTTTTTCGTCCTCAATTTATCTGCTTCTAGGTGTTATATGGAAGTATTGAATATAGGTCTGTGTTACCAAAGACTACAGCCTGGTTGTTGTTGTTTTAACTTGCCTTTGGATTTCTGTTTAATGCAATTCAAAAAAGTATCATACCATTAAAGAGAGATCGACTAAGAGCGAATGCCTACGGGACTCTGACCTGGCGAGAGAACGACGGAAGCTGGCTGGCTGTCATATCTCAATCGTCGCGCCACGACATGATGGAAGAATGTCCCCAGCTAGCACATACAGGCGTGGCCAGAACAACCGACCTCCTAAGACAAAGCATGTACTGGCCAGGTATGAGGAAAGACGTAGCAAGATACGTACTTGGATGTCCACGGTGCCAGCTAATGAAAAGCGACCGGTGCATACGACCACCGCTTCAGTCGATTCCAGTTACGGCGATAGGTGACTTGTGGTCCGTAGATGTCATGGGTCCATTTCCTCAGACATCCAATGGTAATCAGTAACTCTTGGTGATGACGGAACACGCGACACGATGGGTAGACGCCGTAGCAATCCCAGACCAACGTGCAAGGACCGTGACAGATGCAGTAGTTAGACACATCGTTGCAGACCACGGCATACCAAAGACAATACTGAGAGACCAAGGTCCCCGTTTCGAGAGTGAAGAATTTACTTCCCGTTTGCAACAGCTGGGCATCAAGAGGATCAGAACGACCCCATACCATCCACAAACGAATGGCCTAACGGAGAGAAACAACCGTACACTGAAGGAGTGGCTGGCCTCGAAGGGCGGTAACTAGGAAACGGAGCTTCCACTGATTTTACCGACACATCGTGCTACCACTCAGGAAACAACGAAGAAGTCACCCTTTCAACTGGTGTATGGTAGAAAACCACGATTACCGATACACAACGAGACCTGGTCCCTTCACCAAAAGTGGAGTACGACGAAATTAAAAGCAGAGCGGAAAGAAACAGTCAAGAATGAAATGCAGAAGCAGCGGAGTGATGTCGCGAAGTCTCAGCTGAAAGGAAAGACTCAGTGCATTGCCTTTGCAGTCGGGCACCAAGTGAAGTGTAGAGACAGAAGATATACAGTTGGAGGCGGGCCAGGTTCACGGAAACTCCTTCCAAAGTGGGAAGGACCATACACAATCACAAAAAGATGGGGGCAAGTAAATACCATCCGAAGAGGCGACAAACAGAAACGAGTTAACTCCAGTCAGCTCCAATGATGGGCACAGTGGGACAAGCCGGTTAGTAACAATCCTCAACTAGAGGATGTAGCACCCAGAAGGTCGCATCGTCTGCGCACGAAGCTATTTGACGGGGGGACGAGTGTGGTGAGAGCAGGCTGCTAGCCGATTGGTAGACGTTAATCTACGTCAATGTCTAGGTCACTAATATTGGCCGTGAGAAAATATGAACAAGGCTGATTCAACAACCAATCACAGCAGACTTAACGTGGGCAAATATGATTCACAGATAGATGGCCTCACTTTCCGAGAAACCCGAGACAACCAATCAGAAGACTGTGTTTGTCTACTTGAATAAGCTATAATAATGTGCATGAAATATATATAAATACGTGCTGATTTCCGTAATAAAACGATCTGTTGCCTGGCCCTTGTCTTCTGTTGTTACATTAGTAACTCTCTGAATTTCCGCTCTATTTTATAAGGTCAAATCAGCATACAGTTAGTTTTGATGTTCTATTATATTTCTAACATGAAGAGTTTTCATTTACCAGGAATTGTGATAATTGACATAGATATTGTTGTATATTGGACCGTTGGTTGTTTATTTGTTTGTTCGTTTATCACTCAGGCTTGACAGTTTTGTAAATCTCAGTTATTTATTTAACGCCCTGTATATTGATGAGCAAATAATCCTTTCACATCATGTACAATGCATTCTTGCACTTTCTTCGAAGAATGCAAATGTTATCAGTAGTTCCTTTTAATTGATTTTATTTTATTTCTTTGGTTTGGCATTTGATCAATACATATTCTTATTGTATACGTTTTTCTTCATTTTTTCATTAGTCTATCTTCTGAGATTGATAGTTATGAATCAAGTTCAGACAGCTCCATCACTTCGTATGAAGATGATGATGGTGGTGATGGTGATAATGTGAGTTGTGTGTATTGAATTTTTTCTGTCATTTTAGTTAATTATTTCTTCTCCCATATATTTTTCTCTGTTGCCTTCTAATTATTTATATTCAGAAAATGTTAAGAAATGAATTGGTTCTCACTTGATTGTTAACAGTGGAACAAGATAATTTCAGGTTAGATCGTGTATGAAGTCAAAGTTTCATACAAGTTTAAATTCTTAAGGAGTACACCACTGTGTATTTTGATGTCTTGTAGTATTTAACTTTTCGTTGTCTAATCTCCATTTCTTCATCATCGTATTTGTATCTTAAGGTAAGTCTAAACAAATAATCCCCATCTTAAGTAATCCTGTAGACAATCAGTTAAAGTCCCTCAATCACTGAACAACATCCGGCTGACATATATTTTTTCGGAAATCTCTGTTTGATATTATTAGATGCAGAAGACTTTATATTTCAACTCAGTTATTGGAAAGGCACATTTTATGTACCAGGCTAAGAGCCACACTTATCGTGCAAGAGCTGATAATATTACATAGTTGCCTAAGTTGACGTAAGTGGTTTATTTATTTATTTATTTAAACGCAAAAAACTTGGTACAATATGGCACCAAGAAAGATGCGCCGCACAAGTTGTGTGAGGGCTGAGATACTGCTCGGGCGCCCAGACCGAAGCAGAGGGTTTTCTTCAGGGTCTACCCCCGGAGCCTTTGGCTTGGAGTCTAATCCACAAGGCAGCGGAGCAGCGTCAGGAGCTGCATTCCCAATGGTTTCTGGTGACCCATATGGGTTCATACGCCATTTAATTCGATTGGATTCTGTTGCCCATGTACCCCATGGTAACTACTTTTAGTCATACGCTATCCAAACAACCTTCCTGACATGGTAGAACCTGCAGGGACATAAGTACCAGCCAGTTTAGCTTGTTGGGTCACTGCAGTATTCAAGCCCGACCACCACGGCAAGGTATCAGTTGTCGGCCGGGTGACGTAAGTGGAGCAAGACTTGAATGCATAACCCCTAGACTAAAGGCCAAGCATTGTGACTGACGAGCGAAACCAGTACATATCAGTTTATAAATTGCAAGGTAGCATCGTTTCAACTACATGTGGGAACAGATGTCGACGTCAAGACCAGAATCAAAAAGGCAAGAAAAGCCCTCAACTTACTTTACTTTACTTCGGCTATCTCCTACGGGAGGATGAGCCGGCTTCATGAACCATGAAGTTTCATGGGAATTGGGTACGAGTGATGTCCCCAGCATCGCTCGGCCTTTTGTTTGAGAGTACAGCTCTAGCCTTTACACAACCAAGTGTGACCTACAAGGCAGTAAGAGTGGAGTAGGGAGTCCACTATCCATTGGCAGCCGGTGACCGGAGTTCGGTTCATACGCCTTTTTGAATGGGGCCATACATCCAGGACATCCAACAAGCCCTTTGTCCATACGTCTGCCGGTGAGCTCCAGTGAGCTTCATACGCCAGTCGTTGGAGGTTTGGAATCAGGGTTTAGCCATCTCCCCTAGACTGTCATCCAATGGACAGTCAACCCGGTGAAGAGCGCCGGGCATCCGCTTTCGCCCTCTCACTTTGGTGAGAAACACCTCCGCCGCGTGAAGGCAGTGAGTAGGACTTCCTCAGGAGAGGCTATGTAAGACGCCCGGTCATATGGGAGCATTTCAAGAGGTGTGCGGAGGGGTGGCCAACCCGCAGCGCAAGGCACCCATCCCCCACCAAGCCCTCAACCCTTGGAAATGAGTTTGAAAATCAGCTACACTCATCCATCATATAGTACGAGATTCGGATTTTCAACATCAATGTTAAGTCAGTCTATATATTGATCTATATTGATGAGAAAAGCATTTCTAATATGCTGTTGCAGTCTTTTGTCAACAGCTGTCTTCACTGGCTCAATACTGAAGATCAGATGGCTGGCCAGAAAGAATTAGCAACAAAAAACTCTGAGAATGAAGCAGTCAACAACTTATTGCTTAACAAGTATGTAGAAGAAAATAGAGATGGATTGGACACACACCACTGAGGGACCCGTCGAATGACATGGTGTGCCAGGCTATCGTTTGAGTGGAACGTGAATGGGAAATGTCAAGTTGGGCGTTAGTCGTAGAGGGAAATGGAGGAGATTGTATGAGGGCGATTGTGTGGGGCCAGCTGAAGGGGACTGCAGAGAATAGGATAAAGTGGACAAATCCTACTGAAGATCCATACATTTCTCAAAACCCATGGGCGCAATAATAATAAAGCTGGTCTAATATCTGATCACTCTAATGTGGCCTTTTTCTCACTGATAAGTTGTCCATGCATATCTCACTGCACTAGACATTCCAGTCTTTACATTTAAAAAATTGCTTTGATTTTCCTGTTTCATCTTTCAGAATGGTGATCCTCTTCTCGATACAAACACTTATATGTTGAATTGGGATGAGCTTACCAAGAGTGTTATTCGGTCAGGTGCAGCAGGTCTACTATTTTCTGCATCGACCTTTTCTTTATTTGTTAGTCTTCTTAGTGAAAGTTACTTTGCAGAACTAAACTATCTAAGAAAAGAAGTCAGTAGAACGACTGAGAAACTTTCACGCGTTGAAAATTTAGTAAGTGGTATTATTTATCTATATTTATAGAAATTACAGCTCTAAATTTTGAGATGTGATTTAGGACAGAGAGAAAATTAATGATTGGCGTGTTTTGTACGACGATTTGACGCCCATTAGAACGATAGATGTATTCATTTATATTCATATTGATATTTTATTTGGAGACTGATTATCTTCTATCTAGTGGAAGGATATTGCATAGATTTACTAGTTTTAATGATCACCTATTTCATGCGTATGACTTCCCGTTTCTTGATGTGTATCTGCTTTAGTGGAGTAGTATGTCTTTGTTACAGTATAATTCGTTTTACAGTGAAATATTTTCATTGGTTATGTAACACTGACACTAAGACAGTTAATGCTATCAATGAAGTTATAAATTCGTTTTAGAGCGAGACGAAATCAACAATCATTTTATCGAAGCACACTTAAAACGTTATCCTCTTAAGTGAGATGAACATTTTATTAAGGTATTCTACCTTATAATATTCAATAACTCATAAAGAATGAAGAATTCAATTGTGAAAGCTGAGATTAGTTGTTTAAGTGTACTGTGAAGCTTGATTGTGCAAAACTGTCAAGTGGAGTTGATATGTGAGACGAGTGCATATTATCGGACAATGAAACCACATCGTTTACATTTTACAGTTTGACCATTTTCCTTCTGAGTAGACAAAATTCGCACTGTCTTTATTAGCAGCTTGTCACAATTGTCTCCATCAAAAATTCGATTTTGTCCAGAACAAATGACCTAGCTGATTAGGATTTTTGTATTTTATACATTAACACTTGAAGATAAGTGTGATAAGTGACTGAAATGAAAATGTAACTTTCTTGATTGTGTCTGTTACTGGCTGATAGCTTTTGGCATTTATGTTTTAACGAAGGAAATATACAAATCAATTCGTCAATCTCCCTTATCTCAGAATGTATATATATATATATATATATATATATATATATATATATAGTATCGTGTTTATGCTGTAAATAAATTTCCTTTAAAACCAACGGTTTAATTTTCAGTAGTTCTGTCAAATTCACAAATCACCTTTAAAAAACAGAAGGATTGATTGAGCGAAGAAATATTTACTTTTCAATTAGATCCTTATCTCTGTCTCTACACTAATATACACGTATAGCATTTTTATTACAACATACAAGAAATTTACCAATCAAGTGGCACTGATATGTTTGTTGGCAATAATTAGTCAGTGTCAACATGTCAATGGGGTGATAATTCACGAAGAAGATTAATACGCATGATTAAAAGGTAGAAACGGTTACATGGATCGCGTAATGCATAATTTTGCAAAAATGAAGAGTAATTAAGGAGTAATAATCGTGTGCACGGGTTGATTACGTACCAGGATGTTGAAGAAAATAAAACGATTTGAACAATGATGACTTGTAACTAAGGCTGAAGTAGTCATAAGAATAAAATAATTTTACAAAGATAATGTGTTATTATTAAAGATGAAGTAGTTAGAAAAAATAAAATAATTTGGACAATTATAATTTATAAAGGTTTTGGGTGGAGGGTGGGGGTTGAAGTAGTCCGGTTTAAACATTCATGTAACAATGGCCAAGATAAGGAAAGTGGTTGTACAAATTTCTTCTGAACACACAGGTTTGGCTGGCTTCTTCAGGTGGATTCCTGTTTCTTCAGCTGTAGGTATGTAGAAGACGAACTCGTTAAGCAAAATTAAGATTAGTAGGAATGAGATAAATAATTTTAGATGCTGTATTAACGTCAACCTTGTGCTCACCATCTACAAGGTGTGCTAAAATGAAGCCAACATCGTTAAGCAAGGAAAAAACAAGGTTGTCGTTAATACTGTTGTATGTACGAGTAAGACTTTTACATACAGTGGAGGCAATCGGAATCCATCTGAACAAGCCAAATCTATCCGTCAGTTCAAAAGAAATTTGTACAACCTCTTTCTTTACCATGGTCAACTACATAATATGTAGTAAGTTTTTAAAAACCGATGTTTACCCTCCCCATGTAACCATCTCTTCACTTTGTTAACTTTTACAATTCGAGCCAATTCTATTGACTTGTTTGCATTTTACGTAATTCCACTGAGTCATCCTGTTCTTCTTAGTCATCATTGCTATTTTACGAATTTCTTGATTATGTAATAACTTGTTTCTAATGCCTAAGAATCAACCTATCTTGAATTGAGTAATTAATTTGTCACCTCTCTTCTAACACTCTTGTTACTAACATCTAATAGTTATTGATGTTGATGACCCTTAACCTCTTAAATTCACCCACCCCACGTAAACCTAAAACTGACTAACTGAAATACCGCTTCACTTATTTGGGAAGTACCATCAGCCCCAACGGGCTGATCTCTGACGAAATCTCAGCACGAATACAGGGGGCTCGTTTCGCATTTGCCAGCTTATGCCGTCTCTGGCGTAGACGAGATATCCGACTATCGACTAAAGGGCGGGTGTACTGCTCATCAGTCCGCTCCGTCCTCCTTTATGGCTAGCTGTGAGACATGGCCACTGAGGGTGGAAGACATGAAAAGATTGGCTGTCTTTGATCATAGGTGCCTGCGTTCTATCTCCCGTGTGAAGTGGCATAATAAGGTGAACAATATTGAGGTTAGGCTTCGGTCGAGTGCCAGGTAAACAGGGGAAATCAATAGACGAAGTTGTGAAGTTACAAAGATTGAGATGGTTAGGACATGTGTTACGTATGCCTAGTCATCGCCTTCCTCGACGAGCAATGTTAGCGGATACAGGGTCAGGCTGGAAAACAGCAAGCGACAGTAAAACCAAAACATGGCTTCACCAGTCGATGAAATCTATAACAGTTAGTCTAAGCCACGTAAGAAGGTGTAGACTTCCTGACTGGTTGGGGTCCTCGGGACGGTAAAAATCAATGATTGGAAACAATTGGTGACATGGCTCAAAATCGTTCTCAGTGGCTGGCGCAGGTGCATCCACTCCTTGTGACTTATGATTTCCAGTTAAGCTATGTTGTTCTTCGTTACTACTATTCCTTTTTCTCACACCTCTGTTTACTGTCTCTATTATGCCTTTCTTGTACTCTCTTCTCTTACTTTGTGTGGTACATGGAGTGTGACGACTTGAAGTGGTGCACATATGTCTGTCTGTCTGTCTGGATTCAACATAGAACTTGGCACCGAAGTGCAGCAGTTCGAGTTGCCACGTTCCAAATAGCACACAGAGGTAGACAAGAAGATGAGTGAAGAGAATTAATAGAGTTTGACAAATATAAGAGTGAAACAGAATGGGTAATGGTAGAAAGGAATATGAAAGATTACAGAGACTGAATACATCTGCGCCATTGACAACGATTTTGAGCCATGTCACCTATTGTCTCCAGCCATTGATTCCTAGAGTCCCGAGGGCCCCAACCCGGGAGTCTGCATCTCCCTACCTGACTCAGTTTAACTGTCAAGGATTTCATGGATTGATGCCATGTTTTTGTTTGGCCACCACTGGCTCTTTTCCAACCTGAACCTATATCAGCTAGCAATGCCCGTCGGGGGAGGCGGTGGTTAGGCATGCGCAGCACGTGACCTAGCCATCTTAGTCTATGTAACTTTATAGCCTCGTCGATTGATTTTCCCTCTTTGCCCAACACTCTACGCCTAACGTCAACATTACTTATCTTGTGAAACCACCTAACGTGAGACAGAGATCGCAGACATCTATGATCGAAAGCAGTCAACCTTTTCATGTCTTCAACGCGTATTGGCCATGTTTCAGAGCCATAGAGAAGGACGGAGCGAACTGATGAGCAGTACACACGTCCCTTGGTTGATAACCGGATGTCACGCCTACGCCAGAGATGGTGTAAGTCAGCGAAAGCAGCTCGAGCTTTTCGGATCCGTGCTGAGATTTCATCGCCAATCAGTCCGTTGGTGCTAATACAACTTCCCAAGTAGGTGAAGTGGTCAACATGTTCTATCACTTCACTCCCTATCACTAAGTTAGGAGTTGACGTGGTCCAGTCCTGTAGCAGCATCTTACATTTTGCAGGGGCGAATCGCATGCCAAACATACGAAGATTGCTGCTCAAGGTGTTCAGAAGACTCTGCATTTTGTCAGCATCCTCCCCTAACAGGACTATGTCATCTGCATATTCTAAGTCCATTAGATTATTCCCTGGTAACAAGTCGATTCCTAAGTCACTACGTTCAGTTAAGGATACTTCCATTAGCATATCTATGATGAAGTTAAACAGAAATGGGGAAAGTGGACATCCCTGTCGGACACCACTGGTTGTTACCAATTCAGATGACAATTCCCCATAAGCCCTTACACGACTACGTGAGTTTGAATAGAGTGCCTTGATTAGTGCAATGTACTTTCTTGGCACTCCCTTCACAGTCAGACATTGCCATAGTACCTTTCGATCCACGGAGTCGAAGGCCGCCTTCAAGTCAAGAAATATGACAATTGTTGGACGCCGAAAAGTGTGTCTATGTTCTAGAATCTGTCGAAGAGTGAAGATATGATCTATGCACCCTCTACCTGGTCTAAAGCCTGCTTGATTTTCCCTTGTCTGTTCCTCCCGAGTTCTGCTTAGTCTATGCATGATTACTGAGCCTAGGATTTTAGAGACTATGTTCGTTAGGCTGATCCCCCTATGATTATCACACGAGGACTTGTTTCCCTTCTTGAATATCGGTATAATAAGTGACTTACCCCAGTCTGATGGTACTGTCTCTGATTCCCAGACTTTGCCTAGTACCTCAGTTAATCTACAAACTAGTATGTCACCCCCATATTTAAACACCTCCGGAATAATTCCGTCGGGTCCTGCCGCTTTGCCTCGTTTCAAATTACTGATAGCTTTTGTAACCTCACCTACAGACGGCGGACCAGTGTCTATATCCCATTCGGGTACGTGGTGGATGGCGGGGAGGTTCAGTGTGGCTGTAGGCAAGTTAAATTGTTCCTCAAAGTGTTCTTTCCAGCGTTCAAGGCGTCTATCCTGAGAGCTAATTAAGGAGCCATTTTTCTCAGAAATAGTCTCACTTATGAATTGCCTTCTCCCGCCCGATTCTGTGATGAGTCTAAAGAGTTGCCTAGTGTTGCCTATCGCCGATGCTTTTTCCATCTCTTTTGCCTTTGTCACCCACCACTGTTCACGGTCCTTGCGGAGACTTTTAGTAAGTTTCCTTTTGTGCAGCTTTCGCTCCTCATTGAATTCGGAGCTCGCCGGAATAAGTCTTCTAGCATCTATCAGTTCGGATGAGGCAGTCGAAATCCAGTGGTTTTTACTCACCTTTGGATTTGCTTATTCACAGCTTTTACAGCTGTATCTATAGCTGACTGAATATTCTTCCAGGCTTCTCCAGGGTGAGCACAGCTGTCGAATTCAGATATGCGTTTAGCTAGTTCTTCCTCAAATAGGGATTTAGTTTCCTGATCGAGCTGGGGACGTGATGGTTTTACCGCCAGCTGTTTCCTACGTCCGTTCAGTCGTAAGCACACACGAGCCCGGACCAGTGCGTGATCGGTATCTACACACGTGTTCCAGAAGGAGCGACAATCTCCTACCGACCCACGCCAACGATAGCTTATTGCTATGTGGTCTATTTGTGTCCAGCGTTGGTTTGATGATGGGGGTCGCCAGGTTAAACAGTGTCTCTCCTTGTGTTTAAAGTTAGTGCTTACAAGAAACAAATGATTATCTGAACAGAACTGTAGGAGACGGTCACCGTTGTCGGTTCGCTGGTACGGAACTCCATAGGTGCCACCGACATCCTTCTCAGATTGACACAATTTCCCTACTTGAGCGTTGAAGTCACCAGCCACCAGAACTTTGCACATATGTGCAAAGTTCTATGTCGAAAACAGACAGACAGACTAACTAAAATAACCGCTTGATTGGATGAAGGTTTGTTTTTCCTTTTTGATCTGCCTTTGACGTCTTCATCTATTCCGCCTTTAGTTGAAACGATGTGAAGGATTTGTTTATAAATAAGTACAGATTTACTTGAATAAAGCTCTTGAATAATATATTATGTAATATGTGATTTTTTTCACAAAGCAGAATTTCGTTTTTTCCGTCTATTTGTATCGATTTCTAGAGGAAACAGTGTCAGTCAGTATGCTCGCATAATAATAACAAGAGGTTTATGGATTATGTGAATTCCGTCAAGTAAGTAGTATTCATGACTCACCTTATATAAATGCCACCAGAAATTACAATGGATTGTATTCACTGAATTAAATTATTTTGTCTCATTCAGTTAATCAATTCCTTAAGCCGACGAAGTTTTTCTCTGAGTGATGTATTTAGTAGTTTTTCTTTTAATTCCAGCCTTAATAAGAGTCCTAAACAGAGTTCTAGATCGTCCTTCTTTTATATTTCAGTATTCTATGAAAATGTCTTGAATTCTGCTCGAGTTACATAATGATCATTAAGTAATCATATTACCGATTCTATTTTTGCTTCTCATACGATTCTTGATAAATATTCACCAGAGTTGTTTGATTTTTAAAATTTGAATTTCATAAGTTTACTGATTAGATTCTGGTCTCGACTACTCAGATATATTATCAAAGCTGCTTTAATTAATATATATAGTGTGGTAGCATTTTAAGGATGCTACTAGTGTGGTGAGAGAGCCGTCTGGAAGACAAAATTGTAGACAACAGTTGACGTCACTGTTTACGTCCGAAATCTTGGTCATGAGAAAAACCAAGAACAAAGCCTAATCTTGGGGAAGTCAACAACCAATGACAGCAGACTTAACGTGGGCGGATACGATTTGAAAATATATCATTGGACTGTCTAGGAAACGGCAACAAAGAGATGACAGAATAACCTTCAGCAGGAAACAACCAATCTCTAGCATTGTTAATTCACCATGTTCTTTTCCTAAATCGAGAGTGAATTGCATTGCATCCATTGTTGAGTTTATGTATGTATGTGTATAGCGATAAATTACAGACAGCTGGTGTAATGATGGATGGATAGTTACACAGTAGTCATTTGCATGAGAACTGTAGATTACTCATGATGATTTTATTGAAAAAAAATGGAAGAACACGTAAAATTGACACCCTTCTAGGTCTTGCTTGTCAAGTAAGGCAGAGAAAATTGAACAAAACACTTACAGGCTTGTAAAAACCATGAGTGTTGGCTTCAGAGGTAAAACTGTGCTAAGAATTTTGAAAAACCGTTCGTTCAAAAAGACGAAAGGAACCTTCTCCATTAACCAGCTGCAAGCAGCCTTCTTTAATTAGTGTTTGTTTTATAATCTGCGAATTCGATATCTTCGCTCTATTGATTAAACACTTACTATGTATTTATACGCTCACTATTTTATTTCTATCAGCACTTACATAATGAACGCATAGTTTATCTTAAACGTTTTGGCTGTGTAATTCTAGTATGTTTATGAGAAAGTAATTTGAAATTAAGTTCTTAAAACTTCTGTTCTCTAACTTATTTATCTGTAGAGTGGAAATGTCTGATCAGAAATACGAATTGGAGAGTTTTATCACAAGATGGAATAACATTTTAGATGCTATACGAACTGTCTCTTTAATGTTTGCTGAATCGAATGATAATGGAATTCATATAACAACTAACTCTGCTTCATCTGAAACAATATTTTCCTCATTGAGCGATGTAACTGAAGACGAACAAACTGCTATATTACCAAAAGATGACAGCAAAGGTGATATTCCATCTGACCAGCTGGTGTCACGTAAGCTGTTCTTCTTTTTGTTAACAACAATGCGAGAATATTGATTTCCTTATTATGTCGTCATTCGTTGGTTGGTCCAATGTATCAGACAAAATTCGTTAATGTAAATTAAAATTTATATATATATATATATATGTATATATATATATGTAGAGAGAGAGAGGTCAGCTCCTAAGATTCTGTCGAAAAAGCTTTTCACTTAAACCATTCGGTTGAAAGCACACAGCTACATCAATATCATCCACCTGAACTACAAATTCCCATTCTTCCTAAAGAAATCTGTGGAGATAAGATTCACTGAATTATGAATGATGCATCAGTATTATGACTTGCTGACTCACTGACTGGTTTCAACATAGAACTCTACACTGATGTGCAGCAGTCACAAGAAGTGGACACATCTGCGCCAGCCATTGAGAAAGATTTTGAACCATATCACCAATTGTTTCCAGCATTCATTGGTTCCTACCGTCCTGACGACCCCAACCAGTAAGGAAGTCTACACCTCCCTACTTGACTGGCTTAAACGAACTGTTTGTGGATTCCATTGGTTGATAAAGTCATGTTTTGGTTTGGCCACCATTAGCTGACTCTTTTCCAACCTGATCCACCCTGTGTCAGCTAAGATTGCCTGTTGTTGAGGAAGGCGGTGGCTAGAGATGCATGTGTAACACATGCATTGAGTGTAACTTCACAACCTCGTCGATTGATTCACCCTGCCGTACCTAGCATTCGACCGTCGCCTAACCTCAATATTGCTCGACTTACTGTATCGCCTAACACGGGAGATAGAACGCAGATACCTATGATCAAAGACAGCTCGCCGGCCTCTTCATATCTTCCACTCTCAATGGTCATGTCTCACAGCCAACCATGAAGGAGGACGGAGCGGACTGGTGAGCAGTACACACGCCCTTTGGTCGACAGCCAACGGGATATCACGTCTCCGCCAGAGACGGCGTAAACTGGGATTCGCGAACGCAGCCTTCTGTATCGACGCTGAGATTTCGTCGGTGATGAAGCCGTTGGCACTGGGACTGATGCAACTTCCCAAATAAGTGAAGCGGTCAGTGGGCACCACCAATCACTTCACTCTTCATCTTTAGGCTAGGAGTCTGTGTAGTCCAGTCCTGCAGCCTCATCATCTTACGTTTGACGGGAGTGAATTTCATGAGAAATATTTTAAGATTGCTACTCGAGGTGTTCAAAAGACTCACTGAAATACGCGTTTTGTTTTTATTAAATGTTTCACTGGGGAAAATATGTCTATCTTCCAAGCTCCTATGTCTGTCTATGCCAAATGAAGTGTTGTTTAGATCAATGGAAAATCCATATTAACCCAAACTGTACTCACTAATGTGTATGTGCTTACCAAAGCACATATAGAGGAAGAAGAAAGTTAAGGAGTATTGTTGGCACTTCTAGAGATACATATCAATGAAATAAAGACTGAAAAGTGCGGAAGTGTTGAATAATGTCATCTCCTGTCATCTGATGAACACCGCGTATATTGTAGACAGGCTGAAGTCGTCTTTTGAAATAATTAACAGGCAAAGAAAATCCAGCTTACTACGTTTTTGCAGAATTTCTCTAATTTATGTTATCTTGCTTTGACATGACCAGTAATTTGAAATTCCCATAGATCGCCATTATTCTTAAGTCATTCATCAAATAACACGATTCATATAAACTGTTGTAAACTTTTGTGAAAAGTATTCATACCTCAACTATTCGAATATAATATCCGATATGGTGATACCGTGTTTAGCCTTGTTTGACATTCAACCAGGAAATAAAGGTACAAAGCTAAAATGTGTTCCTTTAGTCCTTTCGACTAAAAAGTGTATGATATCTTTTACTTAAACTATCGTACTACATACAGTCTACGTGCTCACCATTCATGTGAAGTTACAAAGACTGAGATGGTTAGGACATGTGTTACGTATGCCTAGTCATCGCCTTCCTCGACGAGCAATGGTAGCGGATATAGGGTCAGGCTGGAAAAAAGCTAGTGGAGGTCAAACCAAAACATGGCTTCACCAGTCAATGAAATCTATAACAGTTAGTCTAAGCCACGTAAGAAGGTGTAGACTTCCTGACTGGTTGGGGTCCTCGGGACGGTAAAAATCAATGATTGGAAACAATTGGTGACATGGCTCAAAATCGTTCTCAGTGGCTGGCGCAGGTGCATTCACTCCTTGTGACTTATGATTTCCAGTTAAGCTATGTTGTTCTTCGTTATCACTATTCCTTTTTCTCACACCTCTGTTTACTGTCTCTATTATGCCTTTCTTGTACTCTCTTCTCTTACTTTGTGTGGTACATGGAGTGTGACGACTTGAAGTGGTGCACGTATGTGCAAAGTTCTATGTCGGAAACAGACAGACAGACATTCATGTGGGAAGTCTGCTTTCAATTCCCGAGGGACGCATTCTTAAACCTTACCTTATTTACTTAGTAGCCGGTAGTACAGTAGAAAAGAAGAAAGGTTGGGGCCTGCAACTCCAATCCCCAAAAGTAATATCTCCGCTATTGAGACTTCAGAAGCTTGAAGTCGTATTTTGCACTCGTCACGCAGGGAATGAAAAGGAGAAAAAAGACTCTTATCTACTCTTATGTGTGAATACAACTAATTGTTCTGTGGATGTTTCATTATATTATTAGTGTTCCACCCAGAAAGAAACCATATTTTTCTTGCATCATTAATTACTCTGAATTTTACCTTTTATCAGATAATGCTGAGCATCGGCTTGGACTGCAAAAGCTAAATCTTCAACTTAGGACAGTATGTATGCTACTGTATGATTTTATTGGCTAGCCATCTGCAGGAGACATATAAATTTACCTGTGTAGTTGAAATGGTATTTAGGCCGATAATTGATTATGTTCTGAGATACATCTCTGTTTCTCTTATAGCCATAATTTAAAAAAAAATGTAATTTGATTCCGTTACGTTCCTAGTGGAAGATAAAGCTTGAGTCTAGAGCTCAGAAGTTTCGGTAGCAGTGGTTTTATTTTTTATTTTTACGAGATAGGGGTTCTAGTCTCATTCCCAACCTTCCCTCTCCACCGGCCGTACCGCTACCGGCTCAGCGAGGTTTAGGGGTCCGTCCGCCGGGAATCGAACCCTGGATCACATTCGTGGTTGGCGAGCATTCTACCACTGACACTCTTATACCCACATAAGTTACCGTATTAACTAAAATAGACTCAAAGGATTTAAAAGATCCCCTGAATTTAGCCCTTCAGGATAGTTGCAGACAAGTTGATCTCGTCTCTTTCAAAATGAACGTGTCTTCGATTTAGACTTAGTAAATGTTTTCCTTAGTGTATAATACTGATGTTTTTCTTCTTTTACTCACTATTTATCTGACTATTATTGTCTTTGGAAGAAGAATACTTTGTTGACAATGAAATAGAAAATTGTATATCTGTTGAAATGAAATCACCAACTGAAATAGAGACTACTAATGACGCAGCGGAAAATCGTATTCATTCATCAGATGGTGGTGTTGCTAATATTTCAAACGAGTAAGCTATTTTTCTAATATCTTTTTTCCTTATTGATGCCTAATTTAATAGATATTTCTGTGCATGTTAGTGTAATTCCTAATATATAATTTAAAGAGACATGGGTTAGCATGTAATATTCATTTCGTCACCTCACATCAAAAGCTCTGTACAGTTAAAAATAATGTTCTAAAAAGTCATGGGAAATGCCAATATTGTTTGATTATTCCCTGTAGAGTCGGTAAAAACGTACGAAATTCCATATCAATCAGGATGAAGACAAAAACGGATAAATTGTGCACCTCGGTGTTGAGTAGTTTAACATAATCTATTGCTCAGAAATGATTATCATTAAAACTATAAGCGTTTGGAAGGAGGAATACTGTTGCTAGCAGTAAGCGATCCAGAATATGTCTGTCTGTCTGTTTTCGACATAGAACTTTGCACATATGTGCACCACTTCAAGTCGTCACACTCCACTCCTTGTAGCCCACAAAGCAAGACAAGAAAGTACAAGAAAAGCATAATAGAGACAGTAAGCAGAGGTGTGAGAAAAAGGAATAGTAGTAACGAAGAACAACATAGCTTAACTGGAAATCATAAGTCACAAGGAGTGGATGCACCTGCTCCAGCCACTGAGAACGATTTTGAGCCATGTCACCAAGTGTTTCCGATCATTGATTTTTACCGTCCCGAGGACCCCAACCAGGAGGCCAGTCTACACCTTCCTACGTGGCTAGCTTAAACTGACTCTTATAGATTTCATTGACTGGTGAAGCCATGTTTTGGTTTGACCACCACTGGCTAGCTCTTTTCCAGCCTGACCCTATGTCAGCTAACATTGCCAGTCGGTCGAGGAAGGCGATGACTAGGCATGCATGCGTAACACATGTCCTAACCATCTCAGTCTATGTAACTTCACAACTTCGTCGATTGATTTCCCCTGTTTAGCTAGAACTCGACCGAAGCCTAACCTCAATGTTGCTCACCTTATTATGTGATAGCGTTCTCTACTCGTGGCGGAATGTTTTACTTCGAGCCACTGTACTTCGTGACAGTCTTGGTTCCTCCTGACACGGCGTGCTTAGCAAGCTCACCAGGCAACAAGAGACGGACAGCTGTCTGGAATTCGTGGCTTGAGATGGTCGACTTTTTGTTGTAGTGCGACAACCCGCTTGCCTCAGCGGCAGTACGCTCGAAAATGTCGTTGACGAAGGAGTTCATTATTGACATGGCTTTGGATGAAATACCAGTGTCAGCGTGGACTTGACGGAGGACTTTGTAGATGTAGATGGCATAGCTCTCCTTCCTCCTCCTCTTCTTCTTCTCGTCAACCTTAGGCAACTTAACCTTGGATGCCTTCTTCGCAGCTTTACCAGATACAACTTTTGGTGGCATAGTCGTAGAGAGACGCAGACGTGTATAAAGTTTATTTAAATGTTGGAGTTTGAAAAAATACAGGGGAAAAAAACTATGGATGAAATTGGATTGCGTATAAGATTATTATTATAATGATAATAACATCTTTATTCTGGACAGTATTTATAAAAAAAATGTACAGGATTTTTAGAGGAGTTTATTGTATGGTATTTTCCCTTCATAAAATATCTTCAAGTAAAATATTTCTGACCTGAAGCACAAACCCATTCCATTATGATATAACTATCTGCTTTGTCGCTTTCACGAAATCCACGATATCTAGTTGAGAGTCAATTGTAAGATGTTCATTAGTACATTTGAGACCTTAGGACACAACTGAAGAGCAGTTATCTCATGCACTGGAACACACTGCCACCCAAAATAAGGCCTTTCCTCGAGTTTAGGAGGAATTTGCGAAACAGAAGCTTGTAAGCATTTTAAATACACATAAGGGTGTAGATAATACCATTAGAGGGGTCATATTTGAATCGATTAAAACAAACCGAATGAGAGAAAGTATGTGCGGAAGAGAGATGAAAGTTTTTGGTAGCCTGAGTTTTAAGCAGCAGGTCGCCGGCTGTGTCCACAAGTCACAAAAGACTTAAGGTCATAGTAGTAAAATAAAATGGATAAACCACTTTTCATACACAGTTTAGGGCTTTTCTTTGTGTACAGTGAGAGAGATTTCTCTGTGGACAGAAAAATCAACCTTATACATATTCTGAATCTCTTATTTTTATGAATAATACTCGTCTTTGTGGAAGTTTACAGTTTTAATGATAATCATTTATGAATCATTATAAATTATTTAAATTAATCCCAGCGTGTTAAGAAAATCAAAACAAGATTTTTCTGAATGTTTCGCCGTGTAAGCCACAGCTTGTTCATCAGATTTATTCGGATTATAATTAATCATCAAAATATATAGTCAAATTTTTTTTACATAAAATGAAGTCAGTTTATTTGAATAAATCTGCTGAAGAAGCTGTGGCTTACACGGCGAAACGTTCAGAAAAATCTTGTTTTGATTTTCTTAACACGCTGGGATTAATTTAAATAATTTATAATGAATCAATCTGACTCGGCGCTCAAATTATTCCAGGAGATTCGTAACATCTACGGTCTGGAAACATATAATCATTTATGAACACTACTTATCATTGAAAGTGTTCAGATTACGCAAGACTATTTAACTCAGTGTCTCAATCTATCCATTTTTCTTTCTGTTATGTTATTTTATTTATTTTGTTACCGAATGGCGTTAATAACTGAACTTTACTGACATTTCCATGACCTTTTTGTGAACACTATTTACTTGTACAGCTTTGATGAGAAGTTAAAAAAAGAATATTCTTTGCTATGCATATGCCCATATCAAATAAGTTTTCCAAACACTTTAATAAATAAATAAATATATTTTACTTCTTTTTCTGCTGTATAATTGTCTATTCTGGTGATTAAAGATTTGTAGATTACATGGATAACTTTTGACGGTGTTATATTCTGTTATTTGGATGGTTTAGTATATTATTCCAGACAGTTGTATATTAGCATGCACTTTACGAAATGTAAGCTAATAGTGTTTCGTTAGGAATCATTTATCTATCAGCATATCCGGAGGATGTGGGCTGTGGTTAGATATATCAGTATGAGTCATGCTGCATGACTATGCATGCACATGTGTATTCCAACTAGATGCTTCGTTAAATTAACCTTTAACTATGTAATTAAAACTGTGTCTGTTTGTTACTATAGTCGATCAGTCCAGATTGATATGTCTCTTAATTACCCTGAGGGACAATCGTTTTAGAAAAATTTCCTTCCTATTCTTTTAGTGGTAGAATCTCCGTATGTTTTCAGTGGAACATATGTCTGTAGTTATGTAACAACAGAAGACAAGGGCCGGAAACAGATTTCTTTATTACGGAAATCAACACGTATATATATATATATATATATTTCCTGTGCATTATTATAGCTTATTCAAGTAGACAAACAGTCTTCTGATTGGTTGTTTCGGGTTTCTCGGACAGTGAGGCCATCTATCTGTGAATCATATTTGCCCACGTTAAGTCTGCTGTGATTGGTTGTTGAATCAGCCTTGTTCATATTTTCTCACGGCCAATATTAGTGACCTAGACATTGACGTAGATTAATGTCTTCCAATTGGCTAGCAGCCTCCTCTCAACACAGTTATCTATGTAATACGTACCGCTTGGGTATTTCTTGATACTTATCTCAACTAGTGTAAAGAAGATGAAATAACGATGACGAGGTTAAGGATGAAGTCAGCAAATGAGTCAGTCAGCATATATGTGGAGATATGTGTGATGACACACCGATTACTGAAACAATCAATCATGTCATAGATAATCTGGATGTGTCACTAAAGAAATTCTCATAATGTACTTATTGATAGTGCCATCTAGTATACCAGTGAATGGTTTCCAGGTTAAAGAGATCAACATATAGAAATTTACCGATATGCATACATATCAACGGTGGCCTTCACAATGGTTATAAGTGGTAATAGACTAATGTTGAAAAAGGTCATGTACTCAATGCAGTTCGTAATCAAATGACAGTAAGTGATTTCCTGAGTGTTAGTAGAATTCAATTCATCATGTGTTGTCGGTAAATTGAGTGATACGGCGCCAAACTAAACTGCTTAATGTGATGCACTATATACCTAATGTTCAATCGGTAGAAAGTCTTCTATTAATGTCTTGACCTTGTTTGCGTTCATCAGAAATAAAGGATTTTGCAAATTGGTGTGATAGCAGAAAGTAATTTAGGTGCAAATATTGTAGCCTACTAACAATCCCTTTGAGATCGGATGATATTTAGGGATCGGTGGTACTGGTGATGGTAGTTTCCTTCTGAAACTACAGGTGAATTTTTCACCACATACTTTCAAACTCACAAGTCGTGAATTTTACTCAATGCATTGCCTACTAGTTCGCCCAACTAGCTGAAACCAGGATCGAGTTAGTGTAAACTAATTCGGCTCTCCTAGTTGAGTCAAACTGCGTACACCGCTAATGAGCTTGCCCACAGACGTGTAAAATGGCCGCCTGATGTTTAGATCACTTCGAACTGGCTACCATGCGGCCCACTGCTTGGTGTGTGGGGAATCCAACTACCCATGTGAATCAGTAGGTCAAGTGTGACAGTCATGATTAGAAACTTTCGATAAGGTTTTTAATGTGGCCAACTGTGTGATACAGCGTGAGGTTCTCCATAAGGCAATTAGTTTAGGTTGGGGATAGTGTTGCATAAATACAGATTTCATACCATTTGAATGTAAGGGTGTCGGTGGTTCAACGGTAGAATGCTCGCCAACTACTCATATGGTCTGGGGTTCGATCCTTAGTCGACGGACTCCTCAACCTCGCTGAGCCAGTGGTAATGGTACGGCTGGTGGAGAGGGAAGGTTGGGAATGAGACTAGCAACCCTATCTCGTGAAACAAAAAATGAAACCACTGCTACTGAAGCTTGAAAGCTATAGATTGAAGCTCTATATTCAAATAGGAACGTAGATGAATAGAATATCAAGAAAATGTGTAAGTCTTCTGTTGCATGTTCTGTTTCTGGATATTCAAGATTGCACTTGTTTAAAATTTATATCACAGAAAAGAAATGAAGCACTACATATGGTTATTAACATTACACGAAAAACATCAGGTTGTGTTTTACCATGTAATTGTGCAATATAGGGACTTATTTCACAAATATTTGTGTGACATTGACAACGATACAACTCATTTTATATATTTTCAAGATGTCATTTTATCAAGTTAAATTTACTTTAATACCTTATAATATGTCAAAGATTATATACTTTTGATTTAGTTGAATATATTCTCTACTTTTGTTTTTCTGTTGTACTAGAATTTCACATGATGAGAACACTGAGGAACAACAACCTTGCAGTTACCTACATGTGACAAAGATACCGACATTATCATCGCGTTCGTCAATATCTTCTGAGACATCACCTAATATGCTGACATTCGGAAGTTCTCAAATAAAACGTCATAGTCTCTCTAACGTAAGCATATAAGTACTTCGAAATTCTATGCATAAGTTAGATGAAAGTATTGTTTACATGAATTAAATCCACTGGGTTTTAAGCAAGTATGATTAAGTTAACAGTATCGGAAAGTATTTCTTCAACTTGTGGACTTCGTATTATTAGTTCCACTGAACTGAAGCGATCAGTGTCTGTTGGTATAGGTACTTCTGGAATGATCCCCTCAATATTACTTTTGACATAAGTTTGGTTTTACTGGATAGGTGGTGCCTAGCAGTGGGATCCAGAGTGCTCTCAGTATACTATTAAATTACATTTTGGAGTTTGAAAATGTCGGATTCCAAGCTCGACTCGCACTAAGAACACCTACTCGGATGTAGGTACATCTGATTTGATAAGCCCGGAAAAGAAAAAAAGGGAGCCTACCGAATTCTACTGCTAACAACTATCTATCAAGTATATCTAAAACGTATTTAATCATATTTCATCTACATTAAACTATAGCAGCCACCGCCGCGACAACTCGATGAAAGAACTATCAAAATGACAGTGATTCAACCAATCACATCACCCATTATGAATGCCATGAATGTATTTCGTTCAAATTTCACTCTTGATGTGCGCTTCCCTAGTTTTGTCTAGCTATTGGATTCTGTACTGTGCTTAACTGAGAAATTGTATTACACTAACTAGTTAGGGAAGAATAAGACTATCTCTGTGTATGTGAGACAATGTAGGTAATTAACAAATCTACCAGTCTTAATGTCTTTGTCCTACGATTGATTATTCAGAAGGCACCTGATGGTGGTAACTGTTCTAGTTTAACTTCACCCATATTTTTTTAATGGTGGCCGGAAACTGTCAATAAAATCCATAAAGAATTAAAAGAAGGGCATTTCATCGGTTGATTGTTTGAAATCATAAACAAAATGAGATGTAATAGCGGAGAATATTTTTTCTTTTCGACAAATCATTTTCATCCAGAGTTGTACAGTTGTATTTATATCTAACAAATAATTCATAAAACTGTTCGGTTACTGGTAACTGTATTCTAGAGAATATATTTATTACGTAGTGTGAGGTATAGTCTTAGAGGTGATAACTAAGTAAAGGTTAGAGGACTGAATTATTGGGATTGAGTCATAACTTTGAGAAATTATTTAATCTGTGTAAATGGACAAAAGCTAAAGAAATATGATTAGGTCTTTATATAAAACCTACATGAGAAATGGAATGTTATTAATAAACAATAATGATGATAATGTTAATTGTAAAATAAACAATGAAATAATAATAGTAAACTAAAATACCAAGCAATTACAGCAAGAAAAAGTTAAGGTATGACAGGTAAGTGCATGTGATTCTTTTGGATGCAGAAGTCATCTTTTGGCTTTTGAATAGCCAGTGATTCGTGTATGTATAGGCGTATTCGAAGGCCCCACCATGTGAAATAATTGTGTAGTGGTATTCGATGTCCACAGTGAATAAGATGCTTAAGGATAGAACAACTATTGACTTATTTCTTTCCTATTGTAACCCATTCTAAGTTTTGTCATATTTTCTACATCAAGAAGTTAAAACATTCTGGAATAACCCAACTCTTGCTCCTACAATTCGTTAACTCTGGTATTCTGCCTATTATTCTCTATTGTTCCCCCTTAGTTTTTCCTGGGCTACTGAAGAAAGACTATACCTTATCACGCAGGATGTTAAAGGTTGTCAGCAGGGCAAGCAACGTGCCACTTAACGAGCTTGTTAATATTCTGGTTGACAGGCCCATGGACTCATGTGAAAAATGGGCTAAATCCATTCTGTCTATCTAAGTCACACAACCCTCTTCATTCACAACTCTCCCCTTGTATCTCTTCAGGCAGGCAAAACCAGAAGACTATATAGAAAACTATATGCTCGCACTAGTAAGTACAAAAACTCAACCATATCCTACTTAGCTCGTGTTCTGTGTGATAAAGAAAGCATTAGGCGTGATACTTATAGCTTATTAAATAGTCAGTAGGACAACTAGATCTCGTCTTTCCAACTCATATCATTTATAGGTTTGTGAGTCGGTGGCACAGTGGTTAGGACTCTCGCCGACCATGCACATGCTCCGAGGTTCGATCACCTGCCGACGCACGCCTGATATCTATGGTCGGCCTGGAAAATTTGGGCTACCGATATCCATGCTGAAAATTCGATACTTGTACCAAAAATACAGTGTGGAATCAAGCTGTAATCAAAATATAAAATAAAAATAAAAAAATTTTTGGCTTTGCTACCGAAATGCTAATATGTTGTTGTCAAAACTAACTGAGATTACCCTTAATCTATGTAGAATTTTATTTTATTGTTAATTTACTAACTGGATGCAATACTGTAGTAAAATGCTGAGAATTCCATTCTGTATCGCAAGTACTGTTTTGGAATAAAGCTATTATCATTTATTCATGAATCAGACTACATGTCCTTTTTGGTGTCTTCATGTTTTGAAATCTGTTGAGCGAGAACTAGTCGAATGGCAAGATATCACGAAGTGTTAGTTTACGAATTTATATTATTAATTACATATTATTTAGTCTGCACTACGTCTTATTTTTACAAACGTCAACTTGTGTTGTATTTAGCAGGAGAGAGGAGATGATGGTAACTATGTGAAGGTGTAATTTGTTGCCATATTACTTTAGCACTAAGATGTATGAGTCTAAGTCAAACACTTGCATATATACACGAGATTCGTAGTTGACTTCAAGGGAATACAATACGAACATTTCTTCATATTTTATTAACCCATTCATTAAAAATCAATATCAAGCCGAATAGAGATTTCCGTCGCATAAATATATGTAGGAATGAACTGAAAATTGACCACTCGATCAGTGAGTGAGTCACTCACTATTTGATGTGGGTGGGATTTCTTTTTAGAGCTTATATCAAATTTATAGTATTCTATCATTTCATCTTCACAGTTTCTTTGTGTTTTTGTTTTGCAAAATGAATCTGTATTTCTTATTTTAGTCTGGCAGTTTATTACCTTCACCATCGGTGGTGTATATTCATCCTGCTGAATGTTTAAATCGTACTCCGCTAACTGATCAGGATAACAGTATGCATCATTTCCGTGTTGTGTCAAGTGACAAACAAAGGACACCATTTTCAAATTTAAATAATGCATCTGCTGATGCTCAACATTCCAGATTACCAAAACCTAAATACGTCAATAAGTGAAAGCTGATATATTTGCATGATTTACTGCAAGATACTACTGTTATCGTAATTACTCTTTCATAAATATACATCGATCTATGTGTTTTGTTTTGTTCTGTCATAGTTGTCAATTGAAATAATTTACAGGAGTTATACGTTACATTTTCCCCAAAGGTGACTTTTAGCGTATAGCATGAAAAATGCACCTGTGTTGTTACACTCAGTGATGATGGTTTGGAGCGTGTAAGTACTCTTGTCGATTATGTGTGAAAAGAGTTGTCACGTTCTTTAGGAAGACTGCTGTTCTCGAACTTCAGACAGAGTAAAATTTGTTCTCTCAATATATTTCAACTGGTCAATAATTTCACGTATTGATCATTGGGAGGAGTAACATGGATTCAGTGGCATATCTCACATGATAATAACGCGCAGCATGTTAAAAAAGAAAAAAGATCAAACAGTTCACTGGATTTGTAAGTATCTATGTAAATATTGCTGCATAACTAATCAGGAAAGCTAAAATATCAATAGATCAGGTCATTTCGTCTAGTTTTGTAATTAGTCTACCAGTGTGGTGAGAGCAGGCTGCTAGCCAATTCGTAGACATTGATCTACGTCAATGTCTAGGTCACTAATGTTGGCCGTGAGAAAATATGAATAAGGCTGATTCAACAACCAATCACAGCAGACTTAACGTGGGCAAATAAGATTCACAGATAGATGGCCTCACTTTCCGAGAAACCCGAGACAACCAATCAGAAGACTGTTTGTCTACTTGAATAAGCTATAATAATGTACAGGAAATATATATATAAATACGTGCTGATTTTCGTAATAAAACGATTTGTTTCCGGTCCTTGTCTTCTGTTGTTACAATTGGTGTCGCTGCCAGGAGGTACACGTTTCTCTGCTCTAATGTGCAATCATGAGTGGTCGCGGCAAAGGTGGAAAGTCTCGTGCGAAGACTAAAACCCAATCTGCTCTTGCTGGTCTTCAGTTCCCAGTTGGTCGTGTTCATCGTCTCCCGCGCAAGGGAAACTACGCTGAACGCGTCGGTGCTGGGGCCCCAGTCTACTTGGCAGCTGTTCTTGAGTACTTGGCCGCTGAAGTTCTTGAATTGACTGGCAATGCCGCACGTGACAACAAGAAGACCCGTATTATCCCTCGTCACCTGCAATTGGTCATCCGCAATGACGAGGAGTTGAACAAACTGCTCGGTGGTGTAACCATCGCCCAAGGTGGTGTCCAGCCTAATATCCAGGCTGTGCTGCTGCCAAAGAAGACCGACAAAGTGAGGCCATCTATCTGCGAATCTTATTGGCCCACGTTAAGTTTGCTGTGATTGGTTATTGAATCAGCCTTGTTCATATTTTCTCACGGCCAATATTAGTGACCTAGACGTTGACGTAGATTAATGTCTACGAATTGGCTGGCAGCCTGCTCTCACCACACCAGCATAGAGGAAGACTGTTGCTCTATATACCAAATTTTTAAGTCGTCAGATAAAATAAACATATAATGAACTGTAATTTAATTCAACTTGCTATCTTCGTGCAAAAATAACTCCTGTTTTCTTGATTTGTCTTCTGTGTAGTTACAATGTGGGAATAGTATTCAATTTTTTCGGTCATATACCATAGTGTGTGAAAGTACTACGTGTAAATATACGAATGGTCTTCGTAGTTCGTGACCGGTCAGTTAGAAAGTATCCCGAATCTAAAACGATTCGGTCGCTTCACATATGTTTCGATAGATTTTTTGTCTTCATATAAGAACATTTTGAAATTCCCATTAACGCATCTAGAGAAAACAAGGGATTGAGCAGAGAAGTATGCATTCCTTTCCAATTAGTTCCTCATCATCGACTGGCTCTACACTAATATACATAGTTTTTTACAAGTTGCTTCATATAGTTTTATTTTCACATACAATGTGTTCACAAAAGTTTAATGATGACGTTTCGAGGACAATTTATTGCTCATAATCATATCAAGGTACTCACACGACTTCCTAACTTGATTTATATAGTTCCATTATATATATGCTGTGGATGACACTTTCACAGTGTTAAAAACAGAGCATATCTCTAGCTTCTTGACACACATAAACTCACCAGCACAGGAAATAAAATTCACATTTGAATCAGAAAATGAACAAGGGGAATTAGCTATATTAGGTTGTAAAATAAAACGAATAGAAGAAGGTAAACTACACACTAGTGTGCACAGAAAACCAACTCATTCTAGTAGATACTTAGACTTTAATTCATCTCATCCGTTAACTGTTAAGGCAGGCTTAGTTAAGTGTTTAACAAACCGAGCAGTAGCACAAGAAAAGACCTAATGATGAACTAAAACAGATAGAAGAGGCTTTGGTGTTGAATAAACTATCCTTTAAAATTCATTAGGAAGATCAGAAAAGGACAAACGAAAAATAAAAATGATTATGAAACTCTTAATGGTAACATAAATAAGAGAGAATATAAGTCATCTACAGTTATACCATACAAAGAGGGGACATCTGAAACCCTACGTAGGATTCTTAATAAAGCAGGAATTAGGGTGGCATTTAAACCTACAAACTCACTCAGGGACAAGCTGTGTAGGTTAAAGGACCCAGTTGACCCAATTAAACAAAATAATATAATTTATAAAATACCCTGCAATGACTGAGGTCAAACTAGTAGGTCAGGGGTAGTCAGATTATCAGAACATAAGAATTTAGCTAAGGTAAGAATGGTTGACCCCGAGAAGATAAGTAATTTAGAAAAAAGCTCAGCAATTGCAATGCATGCATTAACACACAATAGGATGGGAGAGGGTTAAAATTCGAAAAAGTAATCTAGATAGGTGGAGAGAGAGGTTGATTACTGAATTCTTATTCATCGAGTCTACACCAAACACATGCAATAGGAATGAGTCATCACTCATACCTGAAATATGGAAAATAATACTGCCAATCAAATCAGGTGAAAAATAATGGAACTATATAAATCAAGTTAGGAAGTCGTATGAGTACCTTGATATGATTATAAGTGGCAATAAATTGTGCTCGAAACGTCATCAGTAAACATTACTGTATGACATTGTGAGACTTTATCAAAACAAAAATTTACCCATTATGGATTTATACTCTACCACAGTGCACAAGTTTTATTCTTATATCAATGTGTTCACAAGTCGAGTAACTGCATTACTTTAAGTAGAATGCATTAGAATGTTGTATTTCGAAAGAGATTGACTTCAGTCATTATATACATTTAATAAAGTATTTAATAAAAAGTTTCTAGAAAAGACAAAAGATTGAGCGGAGAAATATGCATTCCTTTCCAATTAGTTCCTCGTCATCGACTGGCTCTACACTAATATGTAGTATTTTACATCGAAATATGTTACCAATCATGTGGTTATTTTAGTTAGTCAGTCTTAGGTTTACGTGGGGTGGGGTGGTTGAAATCAAGAGGTTAAAGGTCATCAACATCAATGACTAATAGATGTTAGTAACAAGATATCTGAGTGTTAGAAGAGAGGTGACAAATTAATTACTCAATTCAAGATAGGTTGATTCTTAGGCATTAGAAACAAGTTATTGCATAATCAAGAAATGTGTAAAATAGCAATGATGACTAAGAAGAACAGGATGACTCAGTGGAATTACGTAAAATGCAAACAAGTCAATAGAATTAGCTCGAATTGTAAAAATCGGTTTTTAAAAACTCACTACATATTATGTAGTTGACCATGATGAAGAAAGGGGTTGTAAAAATTTCTTTTGAACTGACGGATAGATTTGGCTTGTTCAGATGGATTCCGATTACCTGTGCTGTATGTAAAAGTCGTACTCGTAGACCATGAGGCGAGAGGTTGGGTGATATACGATAAATAATTGTAAGAGCTTTGTTAGAGTCGATTTGATGTCCAGTATCGACGAGATGAGCTAGTATTGAACTGTGTATAGCTACAATACAAACGTAATCTGGTTCGATGTCTGGTTCACCGAGCTACATTGATTTGTTCAAATGAGACACTGTACGAAAAACTCGGTAATATTTGCGATTTATTTATTGGAAACGGATATCCAACTAAATTCGTAAACAAACACATGAACTCAGAAAGTGAAACGTCGAAGTTACTGACTACCCCAGAAAGTCAATCTTCATAAGGTTATATATAGGTCACCGGTGATGTGAATATGGAGATCTTAGCGCAACGTTTAAGAAGGGCATTCTTTACAGCTAAGCTATCGTGTGTTCACTAGTAGACCAGTACTTAGTTCAAGAAATAAAGGCACACTGCCCTGTTTCGCCTTTAACATTTGCATTCACCAGTTTAACTGCTCGTGCGGAGCTAGTAACATAGGCCGTACGATCGAGCAAGTTCATCCTCGATTTTCTGAACACCTCCCATCTTCGTTAGGCAAAAGTCCAAATAAAGCTATACAAAGCTCAATACTAGCTCACCTCGTCGATACTGGACATCAAATCGACTCTAACAAAGCTCTTACAATTATTTATCGTATATCACCCAACCTCTCGCCTCATGGTCTACGAGTACGACTTTTACATACAGCACAGGTAATCGGAATCCATCTGAACAAGCCAAATCTATCCGTCAGTTCAAAAGAAATTTTTACAACCCCTTTCTTCATCATGGTCAACTACATAATATGTAGTGAGTTTTTAAAAACCGATTTTTACAATTCGAGCTAATTCTATTGACTTGTTTGCATTTTACGTAATTCCACTGAGTCATCCTGTTCTTCTTAGTCATCATTGCTATTTTACACATTTCTTGATTATGCAATAACTTGTTTCTAATGCCTAAGAATCAACCTATCTTGAATTGAGTAATTAATTTGTCACCTCTCTTCTAACACTCAGATATCTTGTTACTAACATCTATTAGTCATTGATGTTGATGACCTTTAACCTCTTGATTTCAACCACCCCACCCCACGTAAACCTAAGACTGACTAACTAAAATAACCACATGATTGGTAACATATTTCGATGTAAAATACTA